CCCTGGTGTCGGTGCTGGCCTTCCTCACCCTGGTGTCGGTGCTGGCTTTGCTGGGTGTTCTTGTCCCATTTCGGGCTCGGGACTTGCTGCTGGACTGTTTAGAAGCAGCTGTCTTCGTACTTGCCCACCTGGGAGACCTAGAACTGCTTGGGCTTGTGACCGAGTCAGGGGCTGTTGATGGCTTGGTGGGCACTGAAGCACTGTTGGTCTTTGCCGATTTGGTGGTCTTCAAGGAGGCGGGAGGCTTGGGAGGCACGGGGGACATCGAGGGTCCAGTGGATGCTGGAGACGTGCTGGGCTTTGAGGGTCTCGTAGCTGGAGAAGGCATGGTAGGTACAAAAGGGCTTGTGATCCTGAAAGTCACAGTGGACATGAAAGACTGGTAGCCGTGGACAACCACCTGACTGCCTCTCACAGGCCAGCTGCATGAAGTCATAGTGGGCATTGAAGCCCCTGGAGGGTGGGTGGTGTGAAGTCAGTGGTAGGAGGAGAGAGAGGGGTGAAGGCCAGAGGGGTTGCCTCCATGTTTTGCCGCCATTCAGCGAGTATCTTCTGAGGCTGACTGGGGATGCAGCGTTGCTGGGGACATGGAGATGGGTCAGACCCAGGTCCTGCCTTCCCGGAGTCTCCAGGTCACTATGCAGGTGGTCAGGATATGTTGGGGTTTGGAGGCGGGGGCAGGGGCAGAAGTTCCCAGACAAGAGACACCAACCACCTGAGGAGGCATGGAGGACCTCACAGAGGAGGTGACGTGTGAGCTGGGACCTTAAAGAGGAGCAGGGGTTTGCTCTTAGAGAAGAAAAGGTCACCAGGTGGGGGAAGAGCAGAGCCAAAGGCCTGGAGCGATGGGGGAGATCAGGGCCTCGGGCCCCCCTTGTTCACTCGACCTGCACGTCCTGGGCTGGGCAGTGTTGGGGACCCCAAGATGAGTCAGACCTGCCCTCAAGGGGTTCCCAGTCTGATGGGGGAGACCTGTTGGGGCCCAGATGGCTACAGCCTCTAGGACAGTCACAAGGGGAGACGCTGGGCCAGCAGGAGCCAGGGTGGAGGGAGCCACCGCCATAGACGACAGAACCTGTTCAGGGTCCTGAAGGATGAGTAGGAGGTCGCCAGGTGGCCAGAGTGGGGAACAGCCTTCCAGGCAGAGGGACCAGCCCATGCCGAGGCCTCAGGAAGCATATGTTAAACGGCAGAGGGACAGCAGGACAGAGGCAGAAACGAGAGAGAGCTGCAAGGAGGGACATTAGGCCAAGATTTATAACCCATTCTTCTTCTTTTTTTTTTTTTTTTTATTTTATTTTATTTTTTTATTTTTTTTCAACGTTTTTTATTTATTTTTTGGGACAGAGAGAGACAGAGCATGAACGGGGGAGGGGCAGAGAGAGAGGGAGACACAGAATCGGAAACAGGCTCCAGGCTCCGAGCCATCAGCCCAGAGCCTGACGCGGGGCTCGAACTCACGGACCGCGAGATCGTGACCTGGCTGAAGTCGGACGCTTAACCGACTGCGCCACCCAGGCGCCCCTATAACCCATTCTTCTAAGCTGGGTGATGCCGGGGACCCAGCAGTGAGTCAGACCCGGCCTGCCCGCCCTCTGGTCTGGTGGGAAAGGATTTTGTACCGGCACAGCCCTCAGGGCTGGGTGAGGACAGCCAGAGGGCAAAAGAAAGTGACTGGCTGCCTAGGAGACCTGGGGCAATCTCACTGAGGAGGGAGGCTTCCTACGGGGTCCTAAAGAATGGTGTGGAAAACCTGGCTGGGCCACTCCCAGCAGAGGGAACAGCACATGTGAAAAGCCTCAGAAAAGGTTTGACAAATTGAATGAACGCCAGGCACAGAGAAGGTGTCCTGGATGCTCAGGATGCAGCAATGAACCAAAGTCCCTGCTTTGGGGGACAGGCAGTAAACACATGAGTAGATGTCACCTACAGTAAGTGGAGGAGAAGAACAAAGCGGTTAAGAGCGTAGGGGGAAGGATTGCTGTTTAGACAGTGTGACCAGGGTGAAACTGAGAAGGTGACACTTGAGCAGACCTGGTGAGGGGAGGGAGCAAGCCTTGTTTATCTGTAAAAAAGGTAGCAAAGGCCCTGAGGCAGGTGTGTGCCAGCAGGGTGGAGGAGCCCCGAGGAGCCCAGTGTGGCTGACTCAGTTCTCACAGGACCCTTCTGGGCTGGAGGAAGAGGGGCCAGGATGGACACAGGGCAAGGCTGTTGCGGTCCTAGGGGATGCTTTTGGCAGACCGGTGCCGCTGTGGTGGGGACTCCCTCCTCCCAGACCCAGGCTCTGCATGCACTGGTGTCACCCTTTCCTGTATGGCGTCTTCAAATCTTTTTCCTTTTTTAACCTAAACTTGTCCTAGACATGTTCTGCATGCTCATGAAATCACAGCAATATATCTGTACTTGCAAATCAATATTTTCATTCACTCAACTGCACACACACACACACACACACACACACACACATTTATCACACATATCATATCATATATGTATGTGTTTTAATTTGCTTGAATCCTGTTCAGGTGTTTGTCTTCCTAAAATGATCTGGCATAGGCCACCGCCCGTATTTAGCTTTCCCTGTTAGAGCTGTGTGACTGGAGGCGAGTGAGTCGCCTAACAGCCCTGTAGCTCAGTTTCCCATTTATCACTTAGGGATGACAACAGTACGTCCCTCAAAGGGTTGTTGTAAGGATTCGGTAGGTTAATATAGAAGAACAGGGCTTTTAAAGTAGCAGTGGATGCTGTTACTGGTACTGTTTTTATTACTGTTACTTTGTCCTTCTTAAACCCTGGAGATGCAGTTCTTGCAAGACATTCATCTGCTTAATACACAGACACTGAGTGTCTGCTGTGTGCCAGGCCATGTTCCATGTGACAGGGATTCTTCCATGGGGAAGGGCAGGGTTGTGGCCTGGCTGTCCCCTCCCTACTGTGGTGAGTCTGAATGGGGCCCCGGGAGGGGCACAGCCCTGTCCTCACATGCCTCTGACTCTCCCTGTCCATCCCCCTACAGGCCCTGAGCATTCCTCTGACTCTGAATACACTCTCTCAGAGCCAGACTCCGAAGAGGAAGAAGATGAGGAGGAGGAGGAGGAGGAGGCCACTGACGATCCTGAATATGACCCTGGCTACAAGGTGAAGCAACGCCTGGGGGGGGGCCGGGGGGGCCCATCCCGCCGGGCCCCCCGTGCAGCCCAGCCCCCGGGCCCCCCAGCCCAGCCCTGCCAGCTCTGTGGCCGCTCACCCCTTGGGGAGGCCCCACCAGGCACCCCACCTTGCCGGCTCTGCTGCCCTGCTACAGCCCCCCAGGAAGCTCCAGCCCCTGAAGGCAGGGCCCTCGGGGAGGAAGAGGAGGAGCTGCCTCGGGCTGGGGAGGGTCGACCAGCTGGGAGGGAGGAGGAGGAGGAGGAAGATGAGGAGGAGGAGGGCACCTATCACTGTACGGAGTGTGAGGATTCCTTCGACAACCTCGGGGAGCTGCACGGGCACTTCATGCTGCATGCCCGGGGCGAGGTGTAGGCAGAGCCCCCCACCCAGGGAGCTTGGCTAAAGGGGTGGGGTGGGAGGAGGGGGCTGAGGAAATTGGGGTGGTCGCAATGGTCATGTGGGACGGGGTACCGCCGATCTGTGTCGTCTTAGCAGTAGATGTGTGAAGGCCAGAATAAAAGCCAAATTCCGTGTGTGTCGGTCCAGCGTGTTTGGTGTGTGTGTGTGCATGCATGTGTGTAAAGGCTTGAGTGTGCTTGAGTGTGCGAGGCACGGGGCCTGGGGCATTTATCCCTCCCCCTCCCCCTCCCCTGGCTCCTCCCTGGGGGAAGCTTAAGATCACTGTTGCCAAGACTATTAACATTTACTAAGGGCTTGTGTTCAGGTGGCTTCCGTATATTTAACTCATAGACCCGATGACGTACAACACAACGGTTTTGCACTCATGTAATAGAGTCCAGGGTGGGTGTTTCCAGTAGGTGGGCAACCCTTCTCCATATAGTGATTTGGGGACCCAGGCCATCCCTTAAGCCTGCTGTCGTCCACATGGTCATGGCTGAGTGGCCGTGGCCTGGGTCCTGCCGGTGGAAGAGGACGGTGAGCCTGGAGAGGTACACGTGATCTCGGACAGGCCCCCTGCCTGCAAGTAGCACAGCCTGCTCCTAGTTACGTTCCTTTGCTGAGAAATTCGTCACATGACCACAGCTCCCTGCAAGGGAGTCTGGGAAAGGCAGGTCTAGCCAGTGCCCAGAAAGCAGAAAACGGTTTGTGGAGGACAGTCGATGTTCTCTGCCACTGCCTGAGAACCTTTACAAAGAGGACTTTAATTATAATCAGAGCTGTGCTTCCCGGGTGCCAAGTGCCAGTCCAAGAGCTTTATATATATTGACTCATAGAAGTTGTGTATCTAGGAACTTACAAAAATAGAACCTTAATTATAATTACAGCTGCCATTTCCCCAGCACTTCCAGAGTGCTGCATTTTATTTGCATGAGATCATCAGGTCCTTAGAATAACTCTGTGAGGAAGGGATTGTGATCCATTAATTCATTTAAGCAGTATCTTCTGGGTCCCTGCTGTATGCCGAGCATTGGGAATTTAGCAGTGAGTAACATAAAATCCTTGTTCTCCTGGAGCTTACATGGGGCTGAGGCGGGGGGTGGGGGGGTGCAGTGGGCAGGGCCACTGGTAGAGACAGATAGTAATCAAGCTGGAGGGAATGCTGGCTGGTGGTAGATGCCATGGAGAAGAATAAAGCAGAGAAGGGAGAACACTTCTGGAAGGCGGTTGCCATTTTAAATAGTATAGCCCTCCCTGAGGAGGTGACAGAGACCAGAGAGAGCGAGGGGGCTGTGCACTTGGGTGGGAGGAGGCAGGAGCCTGCCACCTGTCAGGGCAGAGCTGGAAGGATGAGGGCAGAGGGGAGCAGAGGGCCAGCTCCTTACAGCTCTGTTGAAACCTTGGCTCTCGCTCTGAGAAGGGACGTGCTAATTCATAGAAGTTTGGCACCAAAGCTCCTTTGAAAATAGAAGCCTAATTATAATGATAGCTGCCATTTATTGAGCATTTACTGTGTGCCAAGCCCCGTTCTAAGGCGCTTTACGTGTGTTAACTCATAGAAGCTTGGCAACTAAGAACCTTCAAGAATAGAACCTGAATGACCATAATGGCCATCATTAAATCAGCACTCACAGTGGACCAGGCCCCGTAAGCGCTTTGTATGGACAATCGCATCGGATCCTTATGAGGTAGGGGCTGTTATTTATTCATTCATTCAACAATGACGTATTGAATACCTTCCAGACGCAGGCACTATTCTGGGAGCTGAGAGTAGAGCAGTAAACATGATGAACAAGAATCCCTGCCTTTGTGGAGGTTCTATTATAGAGAAGACAGAGACTTAGATATTTAAGTAAAATATATAAAAAGTACAGAACGTTAGAAGGTAGTAAGTGCTGTGAAGAGAAACAGAGTGGGTGGGGAGGCTTGTGTGTGTGTGTGCGGCAGTTCCAAAGAGGGTGGTCGTGGAGGCTTCAGGGAAAGGGGGACTTCAGGCAGAGATGGGGAGTAGGGAAGAGTGGGGCCCCTGCACTGTCTACAGGAGCAGTGAGTGCAAAGGCTCTGAAGTGGGGCCCTACTTGGGATGTTGGCGGAAGAACACTTAGGGCATGAGACCCGTTGCTGAGGAAGGCAGGGGAAGACTAGGGGAAGGACAAGGTCAGGGAGAGGCAGAGGGCCAGGCCCTGCCGGCTGTTCTACCAGTTTGGGCTCTGCGTCCCATGTCTGAATCCTCGTCGTAGCCCTTAGAGGCACAGGGGCTATTATCGTGACCATTTCACAGCTGCTCCAGCTAGGGCACAGGGAACTTGACTTAGCTGCTACAGGTCGGTCACACGGCTAATAAGCAGAACGCAGCTGTGATTCCAGACGACTGGATACGGTGCGTACCTTCTTAACCATGAAGCCACATACCAGAAATGGCAGCCTGGCTCTCCACAGCCACCGTCTGACTGGCCAGGAGCGTGTTTCTTCTAATCATGTGGGTTACCAACATTTAAAACTGGGCAGATTTCACCTCAAAAGGGAGGTTTTTTGGCTTCCCTTGAAAATCGTGAGATCTCGATCGCTGAGCCCACAATCCCAAGGAGCAGTAGCTTTCTGGAGCTGAGGAAGGCTTACCTCCTGCTAATGGGTGTTCCCTCCCACGTGCCCATTCCTCAGCATGTGGCATCTGGACCCCTCACACCTTGCCTGCTTCACTGCTTATGGTACCCTGCTTGGCCACAAAGAGCGTTTACATCCTGATGCCTGTTACAGGATCTCATACCAAAGCATCTGTCAAAGCCCACACTTTTCATCCTAGAAGCTCAGAATCTGGGAACCTGACATTTATCCACTCTTTGAATTGAGACTTTCATAACCATCACAGCTTAACATCAATGAATCTCAGAATCGTCAAGGCAGAAATTCACAGCTCGTTAAAACACCACGGATGGATTTTAGTTCCTGGAGCAGCATGCTTAAGCCCTCTTCTGCCCTGAGACAGGGCTTTGTTTGTTTGTTTGTTTTTTAAACCAGACTTTATTTTTTTAATGCAGTTTTAGGTTCATAGCAAAATTGAGGGAAAGATAGAGACATTTCCTGTGTACTTCCTCGCCCCCACACACGCATACCTTCCCCTGGCATCCACATTCCCCACCACAGTGGTCCGTTTGTTACAACTGATGAGCCTATATTGACACAACATAATCACTCAATGTGCATAGTTTACACTGGGAGTCACTCTTGGTGTTTGTTGCACCTTCTGTGTGTTTGGATAAAGCGTAATGACCTGAGTTCATCATTATAATATCATAGACTGTTTCCACTATCCTAAAATTCCTCTTGTGTTCATCCCCCGACACAATCCTTGGAAACCAATGATTTTTTTTTTTTTTTTTACTTTCTCCATAGTATTGCCTTTTCCAGATTGTCATATAGTTGGAATCATAAGACAGGGCTTTCTAAGCATAGATGTAGAGAATTATCTGTTCATCAGGAAAAATTCCTAAGGATATGAGAGGACTAGGAATCAAGAGACATAGTCTGCTGCCAGGGTCGGCGGGGCAGGGGGGGTCATTCAGTTCCCCAGGGCCTGGTTGAGCTATGGAAACCAAGCTAGGAATTCCAAAGAGAGGATTGAACACAGGGGATTGGGTGTGCAGCTGGTTGAAGGCTGAAAGCACAAATGTGGACAGTTGAGGCCCCCAAGATATTCGTGTCTGCATAAAGCTCCCACCTCTAGGACTGGGCACAGAAAGAGAAGGGACATTACCAGAACCCAACAGGAGTTTGGAGGGACAGGCCATGTGCGGCTGTACCTACACCACAAGAGAGGCACGGTACCTTGTGCTGAGGGTGTAGAAATGCACTGGAGCCTGAGCCGCTGCTGTTAGAGGGGTTCCAGCAGCCCAAAGTGAGGGGAGTTCCTTCCCCCTCTTTCTGTCTACCTTCTGCCCAGACCTCTCTTGGGCAGAACTTGAGGAAGACAGCTCTGGAGGGAATCTGGGAAATACAGTTGCAGAAAGCCCAGCATTACAGAGCATCTTCGGGAGGGCTGCAGGCTGAGAGACTAGTGGGCACAGTCGAGCATTTTTTTTGAGCCTCTGCAGTGAACATTGTCCTAGGTACTGGGGAAGTGAGGAAGACACACCGCCTGCCCTCAGGAGTTTGGATTCCAGAGTATGGACACAGATAATGACACGCACAAGCAGGATAGTCCTAGGTGTTGGAGGGTGCTAGGAAGAAATAAAGCCAGGGTGAGGTTCAATGGTGCTACTTTGGCCAGGCAGGTCAAGGAGGACCTGTCTGAGGAAGTGGCATGTGTAGAGTCCTGAATGATGTAGAGACAGCCTTGTAAAGTTCTGGGTTAGAGCACTCCAGGCAGAGGGAACAGCAAGTGCAAAGGCCCTGAGGCAGAAGCCAGCCTGGCATGTGTGGCTGGAGTGTAGTAAAGGCAGAGCAGAGAGGGAGTTGAGACTGCTTAGCGGGTGGGGGCCCCATCATTGTTGGATTTTCTGGGCCTGGGTAAGGTGTCTCTGGATGTTATTTATGGAATCTCTTTGGAGGATTTTAAATGAGGAGCGATACGAATTGACTTACACAGGGGGTGGTCTGTAGTCCACTGGAGGGGGCAGCAGTGGTGGCAGGTGCAGGGGGAGCAGTTAGGAGAGCGGCTGCGGGAAAGGCCGGTCAGACTCGGGAATCTAGTAGTATACAGTTGACCAATCTGACGGTAGTGGTGTAGGTGGGGTCCGTAGGAGTCACACTGGCCTGTTTTAAGGTTTTGAGACTCCTATTTGTCACCATCCAAGTGATTGTCTCATGGTTGGGGGGGCGTCTGGGGTTTGAGCTGAAGATAAAGATTTGGAAGTCACCAGTGATGCTATTTAAAGTCCTGGGAATCTATGACATCTGGAGAGTGGAGAGAACAGGAAGAACGCAGGCAGGGCGGCTGTCTGTCTCAGGGGAGCATGTGTGATTAGAGCCTTAGGTTTGGACATCTGGTTTGGAAACTTCTGGGCTGTCACCAGGTGCAGAGGAAATATTTGGCTTTGGTGAAGCCGACATTTTTGGGAAAAGTGATGGCCAACTGACTCCAACCCAGTTTCCCCACAAGTCACCCCAGCAAAGAGATCCAGGCTAGCTAGCCCTGCACAAATCTTGTACAAACAAATACACACACACACACAGAGCCCCCTACTAGAGGTAGTATTTCCCAGGGTGAGAATCCCAGTTTCCAGGCTCAGAGTAGATTGTATGTCTTATCACTTAGACAAGAGGTCAGCAAGCTTCTATTATAAAGGGCCAGATGGCCCTTTACTATTTTAGGCTTTGTGGGCCATACGGCCTCTGTTGCAACGACTCAGATCTGCTGTTCTATGCTGCAAACAGCCTGTAAGTTACGCTGCCTGTGACGGAGACCAAAAATAATGGTGACTTAAACAAGATAGAGGTTTATTTCTCTCTTACATGGTAGTATGGAAGTGGATCTTCTAGGGGCGCCTGGGTGGCGCAGTCGGTTAAGCGTCCGACTTCAGCCAGGTCACGATCTCGCGGTCCGTGAGTTCGAGCCCCGCGTCAGGCTCTGGGCTGATGGCTTAGAGCCTGGAGCCTGTTTCTGATTCTGTGTCTCCCTCTCTCTCTGCCCCTCCCCCGTTCATGCTCTGTCTCTCTCTGTCCCAAAAATAAATAAACGTTGGAAGTGGATCTTCTAGCGCTAGGATGAGGACTCCGTTCTGTGGAGTCAACAAGCGACGCAGGCTTCTGCTGTCTTGTTGCTCTACCATGGTCCTAGGTGGTTGGGTGCCGTGTCCACACTCCAGGCGGAAAGGTACAGGAAAGGCGTGTCCCTCTCTGAAGCTTGAGCACTCTACCCAGGAAAGAACCTGGGTCACAGGGCCACACCCAGCTGCAAGGGACTTTGGGAAATTGTGTTTGTAGCTACCACGTACGTAGCTAAAAATTGGGGGACAGCTATCAGTCTCTACCGTGTCCCCGCTGTGGGTTTTAAAAACATCCATCAGTTCGAATAGGATCTATAATTATTGCATGCAGGGCACCGGCCATTGACTCTAAGGGCAGGGCAGGTCACCCAAAGTCCTGACCACATTCAGCAGTGCCCTGGAGGGACACTCCACAGGGTTAGGCCTTTCAAGAGCTGAAAATAGGATCTTAATGGGAACTCTCCCAATGTTGGCCAAATACAACAGGAAACAGAAGGTATCTCTGTTTGATTCCAAACCAGATTCCCTGCAGGGCCAGGCCAGCTCTGACCTGAGCTCCCCCATCCCTGTGCCCTTATATTTTCTGGGAATATCTGCTCAAAGGCCAGAGTTCCTTGTTTAGATATTTCAATACAGACCTTTTCTGTTTTTAGATACTATTTGTTATTTTATTCATGTCATCTCACCTACACCCAGAAAAAAATACCCTAAGACCAGAATGGTACATAAAATTACTTAAGTGGGCAATAAATTATCGGGGTGTGTGTGTGTGTGCACCCGAATCCACCCAATACCATGGCCCCTCTGTGAGTGGGAAAGACTGATGGGGGGTGGAGTGGGAGGAGATAAGAACTTGATTGCAACCCCTACATGACTCCGAATACAGCTCCCAACTTGGCCGCCCCATCCCCAAAGGCCCACGTTGCTGCACATCTGGGATCCTTCCAGTGACATTACAGTCCCACAACACCTCGCCTTCCCCTCCCCCATTCAGGCACAAATCTGGGGGAACTTGTTCCTACGGCCCATGGCATCCATCTGGGAAGAATTAAAGGTGATTACACAATCTGTAGCTAGTTGTGATTTCAAACTATTTAATTGGGAATGAGGGAGATACAACAATTTTCCCTTTTGCTTGCTTTTTTTTTTTTAAACAAAAGATTTCACTATGGTCTAATTTCACTGTATCCCTGAAGGCCTTTGTGTCCTCCAAAGACTGAAGCTCTAGATGAGAAATCTTCTGGGTCCTATTTATCAGAAGTCCTTTGCCTGTCCCGGCAGGGAAGCAAATCCTTCCAAGGCCCCCATCCTATACCAGAGGTGGGTTCCAGCAGCCACAGAACCCCCGCTGCCCTAGGGAGGGCTTAACCTTCACTCAGAGCTCCCCCCGGGCATGCCGGATGTAGTGTTGATGCAGCCCAGCCTCCTGGGCAAAGTCCTGACCACACTCAGTGCAGGCGAAGGGGCCAGGAGGGGTGCGGGTCTCATGCGCCTGGCGGTGCCGCCTCAGAGAAGCAGCCTGCCCAAAGGTCTTGCCACAGTCAGGACAGGGGAAGGTAGGCGGGGCAGCGGCGGGTGCAACTGGCACGGAGGGCCTGGTGGCTGGACCGTGGCCACGCTGATGGGCGATCAGGGCCTTGGAGGAGGGGAAGGAGCGGGCACAGGTGAAGCAGATGAAGAGAGCCCCCTGCAGCTTCTGGGCCACGAAGTCCGCTGGGTGCTCCCGCTTCATGTGACGCTCCTGGAACTTGGAATCGGCGAAGGTGATGAGGCAGCGGGTGCACTGCGGGGCCCCCAGGTGGCCTGAGGGACGTGGGGAGAGGTCGGGGGAAGCCAGCAAGAGTCACCAGGACCTCTCCCAAGCCCCAGAGTCATGCCAACAATTCACATTCAGTGCTTACCACGTGCCAGGCTCTATGCCAGGGCTGGACAGTGGTCCAGACAAACTATTACTGGGCCTGTTTTATGGATGAGCAGACTGAGGCTCAAAAAGGTGAGGCAACCTGCCTACAGTCATGAGGCTAGGTATGAAATGAACCCATGGAGTCAGAACTGGAACCCCGGGGGTCTGCCCTTCCAACAGAGCCGTGAGCACAGCCCCTGGAGCGAAACTGCCTGGAACCGAATCCCGGATCTACCTCTTCCTAGACAAATACAATAGTTTCCTCATCTGGAAAATGGGGTAACGACCCTATCAGAATCTACCTCACTGGGTGGTCGGGAGGAGTAAATGAATTACTTTATATAAAGTGCTTAGAACAGTGCTACACAGTGGTTTGCAGTTACTGGTGCTGAGAAAGGGAAGAGCAGCCGGGGCCTTGGTACCTCCCTCCCAGAGAAGATTTAAGATTGCCAGCCTGTCTTTTGCCTCTGCTTACTGGCAACATCCAACCCACAGCAAAACCCTTCCTTGAAGCTTTCCCCAAATCACCTACCACAAAGCCCCAATCCTAGGATAAGTCCTAACTCTTACTGAGCAGCCTTCACAGTGCCCCAGGGTGCGCGTGCTTCCTTAGCTGCTATTAGCAATAAACCAACTTGTTCAACTGTAGGCGTGTTCCTGGTGGTCTTTGGCTGGAGGGCCTTGACAGGGTGGCGGCTCATTGTTACAGATAATCTCTTTGCCTCAATTCTCTCACCCGAAAGTAATACTTAACCAAGTTCAAAGGGTCTGTCCTGGAGGACTGAGATAATGACGGTTTAACTCATAGAACACGCCTGGCATGTAATAAGCATTCAGCAGAAACTTGCCACCATTCTGTCGAACTGGCTACCTTGGTTAACATCAAACCTTCCCTTTCTCTGCCGCTAATCCCCATAACAACAGCCGAGTCACCGGAGTAGCCGCAGCCTCTTGTGACAGACTGGGAAACCCAGGCCCAAGTCACACTGAAAGTCTGGGGGCCAGTTGGGACCGGAACCTTGGGCTTCCTCTCAGTCTCTGCCCTTTCCCAGTCACCTCTCCCACCCCAAGCCCCTCTGGATGCTACTCTGTCCCTCTGAACTGTGGCCCCTTGAAGCTAACATGGACAGATCAGAGTGGGTACATCTGAGCAGAATAAGAGTAAGGGTGGAGTGTGGCGGTTCCCGGTAGGGCAGCTCAGAAACCATTTGTTACAGCCCCTCCCCAGCAGGCAAGTCCTTGTAACGACTTGGACATTGAGATGCTACGCAAATCCTTTCAGGAGCCTCAGCCCCTGCACCCCACCCTCCTCTGGCCAGCAGCACTCACACACGTCGCCTCCTGGACTGCGGGGACTCCTCTCCTTGGACGAATCCTGCTGCTCCATGGTCTCTTCAGGATGCGGGTCCTCCATAGTGGCTGGGATCCCTCTGGTCAAGAGTAGCACGCATGACAACAGTAAATCAAGTGAAGTCGCTCATCTGTCTACAGCGTTAAAGGGCCGCAAATCCTATGACCTTTGACGGGCTCTCTTGCCCCCGTAAGACACCATCTTCTTGAACTGTAACCTAATGGAGCTCTGCCCTAGAGAAGTTTCAACCCTCCCAAAAGATTCGACTCCTTAGGTTTGTGACACCCCTTAGAGCCTTCTCACCTGTGTGCGACCTATGACCTACATCAAACTAATTCCCTGAACTCAGGGCACGGAACCCTGGATCTTTGACACCAGCCTCGCCCCCGTCTCCCACGTGTCTTGAGGCAGGTAGTGGCATCCAGGCTTTAGCTCGCCTCTTCCCCGGAGGCATCTTTCTCTGACATCCTGTAACTTTCCTTCCACCCTGAGCCCCCGCCGCCCACGCGCGCCTTCAACCGCGGCGTCCCGCTGCCCCCGAGCACTGCCCTCGGGTCCCTCCTCCCGAGGCGGGTAGCCCAGGCCTCTGCTTTTCTCCAGGCAGCAGAGGGCTGCCTTTCGTTGCGCCGGTCCGTCGCTCGTCACAGCGCCGCCACCCGGAGGGAAGCGGGGTAGGGCCCACCGAGGCTCAAGGTCCCAGTGGCTTCCATGCCCTTCCGCCTGAGGAGCCTCTCCAAGCCGAGATGCCGGATGCCATCCGGCAGTGATGCAGTCGCGCCAACCGGGTCCTCAGAGTAACGGGAGGAGGGGTCCTTCTCTGCACTGGAGTGCGTTATGATGACGTGACATGACACCCTTGCCGTACAGACCTCAGCTTCTGGCGCACGTGTGGCTAGGTGCTCATGGAGCGCAGGCGCTCTGGTTCCCTCATTGTTCCCAGCCCCGCGGGCTGCAGGAGCTGAGGAGCAGGCGTACGTCTGTTGCTTTGCGCAGGCGCCGCGAAGGGCCGTATCCCCGAGGTCGCGCTTCCAAGACACACCCCCTCCTTAAAGGACTGACGTCAGGTAAGAGCCCCTGGAACGTGTCTGGACGTTCCCAAATCCGGGCGCTCTCACCTCTTCGGCCTCCGTCCGCCTGACCCTAGGGGCGGGGCTTCTCAGCGGCTGATCAGCCGCCGCCAGCTGTGCTCTCGGGTGTGCCGGCTTTTTGCCCGGTTAGTGATTTGGAAGGGAGGAGCGGGGGATAAAAACATCTTTGTGTCTGAGGGAGGAGGGGCTGGAGGCCGGATCTTTGAAACAGAAAGATAAAATGTATCCAGAAAAAGGGCGGACAAGACGCCCGGATCCCTGGGGAATAGATAGGGCCTGGGCGCCGGATTTCTCCCTGGGAGTGACACCCAAGAATGGAAGGGGACAGGGTGAAGGACTGAAGTCTGACACCAGAGTGGGATGACTGGGAAAGGAAAAAGCTGGGTACTCCCTGACCCGTGTCCGCCCCACCCTTTTGCTTTCCAGTTATGCCACCGCCGCGGGGCGACGTGACCGCCTTGTTCCTGGGGCCTCCGGGCTCTGGAAAGTCCGCTCTGATTGCAGCGCTGTGCGACAGAAATGTGGAGACGATAGAGATCCCCGAGGGACGGCCGTACTCAGGGATCCCCAGCCTGCGAGCGGCGGGCCCCGGCCTCTTCCTGGGCGAGCTGAGCTGCCCACCCGCAGCGCCGGGGCCCTGGGCGGCGGAGGCCAATGTGCTGGTACTGGTCCTGCCCGACCCCGAGGGGAATGGGGAGCCCCTGGCCCCAGCGCTGGGAGAGGCGGCGCGGGCCGCCCTGGCCCGTGGGACCCCGCTGTTGGCTGTGCGGAACCTCCGTCCTGGGGATTCACAAAATGAAGACCAGGCCCGGGATCAGACAGCGGCCCTGCTGAACAGCGCGGGGCTGGGGACCGCGGCTCTCTTCGTGCTGCCGGCGGACTGCGGCAGCCGAGATGACTGTAAGGAATTGGAGCGCCTGCGGGTGGCGCTGCAGAGCCAGGCGGAGGTGTTGCAGAGGTAAGCGAGGAGTTTCCCGGTGGGTTGGTGACCGGGTCCTTTTAGGCCCAGAAGACGTTCTTTGAGATCCGCGAGATCCCACCCCCAGCGAGTTTGGGGCAGGCCTTGATCGGATAGCTGCGGGAGGGCCAGTTCTCTCGTCCAGGTCCCGCCCCTCATTGCAGGTTTTGCGGTCACCGAGGCTCTACCCCAAGCCAGTGCTGAGTGCTGGACCCTTTCCTGTCTTCTAGGCCCCGCCCCATCCAAGGGTCAGCTAGAGGTTCAGACCTGTTCTCCAGGTTCAGCCTCCTGTGAGCGTTCTGAGGTCACAAGCCCTGCCCCAGTGAGAATTTTCGGAGAGGAACTAACACCCAAATAGCAACGCCCCCCCCCACCCCCGCCCCGGGCAAAAGTTGGAAGGAGGGCTCATTCAGCACACAAGCTTCCGATCCCCGCGAAAGTTTTACCCAAGGGTTCACTCTTTTCAGCACTCCTCATCCTCCACACCATCAGCTTGGTCGTCAAGCTATACCAGTCCACACCTTCAGTGAGCCTTGTTATTTCTGGGTTCGCTCTCCCACTTCCTTTCAATAACCCCATCTTGTTTCTGTGCCCACTTGCTGCCTACCTCCTGATTTTCCCCCCCCACCCCCTGGCCACCCCCCAACTTTTATAGTAAAAAAGCGGCGCGGTGCTTTTTTTTTTTTTTTTTTTTTTTACCTTAGCCACATCTCCTTGATGAGCACTAGTAGGTGAGGCTTTCCCCGTCATTGGCTCTTACTCCTCTCCTTACACCTAGTGTCAGCAAAGAGTGCCCTGGTGACCTTGCTCCTGTCGACAAGTGCTCCGCTTTCCTTTAATCCACAATACAGTTGCAGGTCTGTCTTGGCCCAAGCTCGACCTTCTGTGAGTTTTGCTTGGCCTTTCTTAATCCTGCAGATCCCTTGGAAAAAGGCCCCCTTGCCCGGCCCCCAGCCTCAAGACTAAATCCAGGGGATGATTTAGCAGGTTCCCCTTTTTAGCCTCTCTTGGAAACCTGATCTCAACCAACCCGCCCCATCCCTGCTTTAAGCCCTGGTTTCTTTGTGCTGTACCATCAGTCTGGCCCCTCCCTTTCCTGCTCCCTCTTCTTTCAGAGATTATTTGGGGAAAACCCCACCCCTCGTCATCGTAGCCTACTCCGGTCCCCAGAACTCAGCTCTCTTGCGTTTAGATCCTCTTCTGCCCTTTATCCTCTGTCTTCCTGTCCCCTCAGGCTCCTGCCACCGGCTCAGGATGGCTTCGAGGTCCTGGGTGCAGCAGAGCTGGAGGCTGTGCGGGAGGCCTTTGAGACCGGTGGCCTGGAGGCGGCACTGTCGTGGGTTCGCGCTGGCCTGGAGCGGCTGGGCAGCGCGCGGCTGGACCTGGCCGTGGCCGGCACGGCTAATGTGAGCCTTGTGCTGAACACGCTCCTCGGGTTGGATCCCGGCGATCCAGATGCGGAGCCTGTTTTCATGCCCGCGGGGCCCACACCCTACCCGGCCCCGGAGCGTCCCAATGTGGTGCTCTGGAGTGTGCCTCTGGGCTCCGCGGGCATTGCTGCCGCCCCCCATCCCACCCACTACGACGCCCTCATCCTCGTCACCCCGGGAGCGCCCACTGAGAAGGACTGGGCTCAGGTTCGGCCCTTGGTGCTGCCAGATGCACCGCTGGTCTGCGTGCGAACAGACGGCGAGGGCGAGGATCCAGAGTATCCCGAGGAAGAGGGAAAGGCAGAGAAGCCCGGCAGCGAGAGCTTAGAGAACGCTGGCGGAGGGGATTTGAAGAATGCACGCGGTGAGGGAAGGGAGAAACGTGGCGCTGGATTGCAGAAAGGTAGCGGGGAAGGTTCAGAGAAAGCAGGCAGCGGGGAAGGTTCAGAGAAAGCAGGCAGCGAGAATTTGCCACGTGTTGGCGGCGGCGCGAAGAAATCGGGCAGTGGGGACTCAGAGCGTGCGGCCGCACTGAGCCCCGAGGATGAGACGTGGGAGGTGCTGGAGGAGGCACCGCCACCTGTGTTCCCCCTGCGGCCCGGCGGACTCCCCGGGCTCTGCGAGTGGCTGCGGCGCGCGCTGCCGCCCGCCCAGGCGGGGGCGCTGCTGCTGGCGCTGCCGCCCGCGTCTCCCCACGGGGCCCGGATGAAGGCCGCGGCG